GAGAGGGAATTGGTCTATGAAGAGGGCAAACCGACGGTACTGTTGGGGCAAGACAACTGGCACCTACTGCTGGCCCACGAAGTCAGAAGAGGATCCGACACGCAGCCGGTCGCATCACTCACCGACCTGGGATGGGTACTGCACGGTACGAGTCACGGCAGGACAAGACAGCAGGTGCACAGAATCAGCCACATAGTGACGACACATGAAGAGGAACAATCGATGGAAGAAATGATGAAGCAACATTTCGCGCTCGAATCGCTGGGAATCGCACCGAAGAGGTCTTACAATGAAGAGGAACGTCGCGCCCTACGCATTTTAGAGGAGAAAACTCGTCCGTTACCGGCGGGAGGATACGAGACGGGGTTATTATGGAAGAAGGACGACCCTGTGCCGCCGGACAACTACGAATCGGCAATGCGACGTCTCCAACTGGTCGAAAGGAAACTCGACAAGAATGAAGAAATCAAGAAGAGATATGAACAGCAAATGGACACGCTACTCAAGAACGGGTATGCTGAAGTCGCCCCGCCACGGAGTTCCCAACGGGTGTGGTACCTGCCACACTTCGCCGTCATCAACCCGCAGAAACCGGGGAAACTGCGGATCGTACACGACGCAGCAGCCAAGACGAAGGGCATCAGTTTGAACGACATGCTGCTGCCGGGCCCCGACTTACTTCAATCGCTACCGGGGGTCCTCATGCGGTTCCGGCAACGACGGGTGGCAGTCACGGCGGACATAAAGGACATGTTCATGCGGGTCACCATACGGGAAGAAGATAGGGACATGCAACGGTTCCTGTGGCGAGGAGATCGACGAGAGGGTCCACCTGTGGAATATAGGATGAAGAGTGTCATATTCGGCGCAACATCGTCACCGTGTACAGCGATCTACGTCAAGAACAAGAACGCAGAACAGTACAAGGAAGAGTTCCCGGAGGCAGCAACGGCGGTGATCATGAACCACTACGTCGACGACTACCTCGCCAGCTTCGACACGGAAGAGCAAGCCGTACGCGTCTCAAGACAGGTCGCACAGATCCACGGTCGAGCCAACTACTATCTCCAACGGTGGGCGTCGAACTCGCATCAAGTGCGCGCCGCGTTCTCCGACACCGGCGGGGACAGCGTGGTACAACTCGACGCGGAGAAGATACTGGGGATGGTATGGCGACCTTCTGAAGACACCTTAGGCTTCAACTTCAACGGACACAAGCTTCCGCCACAGATAGCCAGCGGGGAACAGACGCCGACGAAGAGGGAAGCGCTACGAGCGATCATGTCACTGTTCGATCCACTGGGCCTCGCCACTCCCATCACCATACAGGCGAAGAAGATATTGCAGGAGACGTGGCGTACCGGTATCGACTGGGACACCGAGCTGCAACCACGGGAAGCGGACGCCTGGCGGAGCTGGATGGACCACGTGCGACGGCTGTCCGCGCTGGAGGTGCCGCGGTGCTACCCGGAGGTAGCCACGGCCGATACAGCGGAGCTGCATACATTCGTCGACGCCAGCTCGGACGCGTACGCCTGTGCCGTGTACTGGCGGGCCGTAAGCGCGACCGGCGAGGTCCACGTGTCGCTGATCGCGGCAAAGGGACGAGTGGCCCCACTCAGCAAGGTGACCACGATACCGCGACTGGAGCTGCAAGCGGCCGTCCTCGGGTGTCGCCTATCGCGCACGGCAGTCGAAGAACACGACCTGAAGCCCGCTCGCCGAGTATACTGGTCGGACTCACGCACCGTGCTCGCATGGCTACGCACCGGTCCTCGCGCATACAAGCCGTTCGTCGCGCATAGAGTCGCCGAGATCGTCGAAGAAACGAAGACGAACGAGTGGAGATGGATACCGACGCGGCACAACGTAGCAGACGACGCCACACGCGACCCACCGACGGACTTCGGCTCGCAGCATAGATGGTTCCGTGGGCCGGACTTCCTGTACCTCCCCGAAGAGCAGTGGCCGCATGAAGATAGTACGAGCGACGATAGTCAAGCGGAAACGGGAGAAGAACGCGTACACAAGCTACAGAACGCGACGCAGTTGTCTATAGCATTACCCGATCCGTCACGTTTTTCTAATTGGTTGAAACTTGTTCGCAGTTCAGCACGGGTGTTGCAGTTCATCGACCTCCTGCGACCGACCAGTCAACGCTGTACCGCCATCCGAAAGAGGAACAAGAAGAAAGAGAGCACCGACCCCACTTGGACCCGCACGAAGAAAGTCGATAGAGAGAAGACGAAGATGAAAATCAAGAACAGCAATAGTCCATCTGTGTGTTTCATCCCCATAGACACACACTACCTAGATCGCGCGCGACGGCTATGGATTCGCGCGATACAACAAGAGGCGTTCGGCAACGAAATCGCAGCAGTGAAACATGGGAAACAGCTGCCGTCATCCAGTCGACTCATACAGCTGTCAGTCGTCATAGACAACGACGACATTCTGCGACTTCGATCGAGAATAGCAGCCGCCGCCGATCTGTCAGCCGAGCAACGAGAGCCCCCATCGTCGACGGAAACCACGCCTGGGTGCGCCTATACATCGCATGGGTGCATCAGAAACTTCACCACGGCGGCTTCGAGATCACCACGAACGAGGTGCGACAACACTTGTGGGTGTTGCGCCTACGACACGCCGTCCGCAGTGAACTGAAGAGGTGTCAGCTGTGCCGCCTACGAAGAGCAAGACCGGCGCAGCCGTCAACGGGCAACCATCCACAGAGCAGGCTGGCGCATCATCAACGACCGTTCACGTTCACCGGCCTAGACTACTTCGGGCCTATGACCGTGACAGTGGGCCGCACTCACCAGAAACGATACGGAGTGCTCTTCACCTGCCTAACGACGCGCGCAGTCCACCTAGAAATCGCCGGCAGCCTCAGCACGGACTCCGCCATAATGGCCCTGCGGCGCTTCATAAGCCGCAGAGGGTGTCCCACTGAACTATGGTCCGACCAAGGCACCAACCTCAAAGGTGCTGACGTCGAACTGAAGAAAGCAGCCGAGGAAGCCATCCAAGAAGAGTCATCAGTCCATTTCATCCGGTGGCGCTACATTCCCACGATCGCACCCTTCATGGGAGGTGCGTGGGAACGGCTGGTGCGTAGCGTGAAGACCGCACTAGCCGCTACGTTGAACGAGCGGGCGCCCAAGGAAGAAGTCCTCCACACTCTGCTGGTCGAGGTCGAGCACACCCTCAATAGTCGACCGCTAACCCACGTGTCAACATCGGCAGACGACGACAGCGCCCTAACCCCCAATCACTTCATATTGGGCGGTCCGTCGCGCGTCCCACTGCCAGGCAGCTTCACCGAGAGCGACGCGGCGGGACACAAGGAGTGGCGTGCCAGCCAGAGGCTAGCTGATTGCTTCTGGAACCGGTGGGTGAAGGAGTACCTACCCGAGTTGCAACACCGGCGGGAGCCCCGAGCTACACACGGAGCCATCAAAATGGACGACCTGGTCCTGATAGCTGATGGGACCTTGCCTCGCAACACGTGGCCGCGAGGCGTGGTGGTGGCGACCTACCCTGGACCAGACGGCGAGATCCGAGCAGTCGACGTGCGGACGAACAAGGGCATCCTACGGCGACCCACTAAGAAGCTGATCATACTGCCCACATCGACATCGAGCGACGCGAACACGAGTTAACTCCAGCTACGAGAGCTGCGGCGGGAGATTATGTTCGCGACATTATTTGTATATATGTAATCGTAATTTATAGTTGTTAAGTCCCTAGTTAATCGTTTCTGTATTCTGTTATTTTATATAGATTTTACATAGATTTAAGATAGTGTAAGTTAAATAAAGTATTCCTTTGTGTGTTGTCCTTATTACCTACGAATAGAAATAGAAATTGTAACAATAAATAGAATTAAGAAATTGTAAATTGCAATAAATAAACGCTATAGAGTACCGATCTGAAGAGACACGCGTCTCGTTCTTTCTCGCCCCGTCCCGCTCGCGCAGATTCGCTAACGCGAGTTGGAAACGTTATCATGCGAGCGGGCGGGTATAAAGATAGGCCGCCTCTCGTCGAGCGGCATTCGCTTCCGAGCAGCGACGCACTACACTCTCGAGAAGAAATAGGACAAGAAGAAAAATACTCTCTTCAGACGGTACCGGAGGCTTCAGAAGAGTAATCCCTGTGTTTCACTCCAGCCTGAACCAACGCCCCTACAGTCCACGCTCACCGAACGGCAGTCCACACCGTTCAGTTAGAAATATTTACATTTTATTAATATCAAAAAACTAAACTATGGTGTCATTATTACCCTATAAAATTCGTTTTATCATTTCATTACCAAACGTTTCGTTTCGTTTCATTATCAGGCTGGCCAATATAAAGAGAAAAGGAGGATTTGGAGTAGATTGGTAAGATTCCTGACCAACTCGTTTTATGTGGCTTGTATGAAGTGCGGTCTCTTTATACATTACTAAAAATAGGCCTCCTTCTTAAAGGGGTTTGCCAATAGTTGTCACCGTTAACAGGTTGGTTGGCTACCATAAAAAGATTTTGGTAATGTTTTAAGAGAGACACTGCTGCCCATTTTTCGACCATTAAATTAGTCGTCTTATATGATATCCATAGATAACGAAAGAATGTTCTATTCTATTCCGGAGCCATACAGTCAAATATAACGTACTTACATACGTACAAATAATTTAAGTCTTGCACAAATTTCTGTATTTTTTTAAGGTGCTATAAAACTCTATTATGTATAGCAAATTTATTAGGTCTGCGAGTACTATCCTTAGTCTATGGCCATCGATATTTTGATGTTAGACGTAAATATAGCAAATTACTGTCTATAAAGTAAAGTAAAAAAAAAAGTAAAAGTAAGTTTCCCTTTGTTCTACATGAGACCTAAGAAGAGGGTCCGGAATCTTTATATGATACCAAAAAGAGACCGTTTACAAAGACAAAATATTCGCTAAACTTTTTTAATGTTTTTGTCTGTGTCACTATCAGGTGATAGCTTTTTGATCTGTGGTCATTTGTCATTTTCACATTTGTCAACAAAATTGTAAGAAAATTATTCTAAATGAACTGCAAAAAAGCTTATTTAATTATTAATTTCGAGTCTGAATTAATTTTATAAACAATTTATTTAAAGTCTCTTCCTATTTATAGAGATTTTTGTATTCCTTAGTGACTTCCCGATGAGTGGTTAACATAATGGGGTGTTTAACTTGGATCAGAGGTATGACGTTCAAACTTCCTTCTTATTTCCTTGTTAGCAGTTTTATCGTCGTAAATTTGATTATCATGCTCTTATATAGGTAAATTAAACAACAATACATTAGGATAACATACTTCTTGTAAATTTTTTTTTTACGAATCCCTAATTTTTAACTAATGTACGCCTTGTAATCATGTAGTAGTTATATACATTTTAATAATGATTTGTGTATTAACTTACTATACTTATTGAATTATTGCTCTTAAATAAAATAAATAATAATATAATGTACTTAACCCCACCCAAAGGTAATCTCTCCTAGTGTGAGATAATGATTCTATTTTTAGTATTGCATATTGCAACAAGTTACTAACTTATACATAAATTAGATTGCAATATTTATTTATCATATATTTTTATTAGATTATACAATTTTCTTTATATAAAGCAATCTATTCTTTATGTACTTAAATCATTAATTATGGTTGTCTATATCATGTTAGTTGACTAGTCAGTTAGTACTTATTTGCTATATATACTGATTATGTAGATTATATTTAAAAGATAAATTAGACATCTTTAAACTTTTTTTTAGAACCAAACCTGATGTTGTTAAACTAGATAAGTAGTATAAATGGGTATATTTAGAGATTGTTTACATACCAAAAATAAAGCTAAGTGTTAAATGTTATGTTTATATAAGTTCTATATATGATAATAGAATTTTTCAAGTCTAATTATTATTAAATATTGAAGAATATTATGAAAAGCGAAAGTATTTTTTTGTTTTTCAAAACAGGTCATTAATTATAATTATGTAATTATATTATATACTGTCTTCTAAATATATAACTTACTATGATTACTCTATAATACAATAAAATTTAATTATCATATTATTTATTTATTCATTACTACATATGTGTCTATGGCAGACTTAATGTTAAATTAATATAAAGTTGGAATTAAATATTAAATTAACAAAAGTAACTTATGAAGGTTCCTAAATGTTATATATATATGCTAACTGTAAATGTTAATATCATTAATGTTAAAAACTGCTACTGCCCATATTATATTTTTAAAAATATAACTATCCATCAGTATTTTTTAACAATTGCTAAAAATGTTTATCAACTTTTTTAGGAACCTTGTTAATTTTACATTTTTTACATGGAATTATAATTAATAATCCATAGACTGATCAAAGACAATTTATTTTTCAGGTTTTAAAATGTCTATTCCTTTCAAGGATAAGGAACTAAACAAAATTGCAGCATTCTTCAATGTTACTACCTTTCTTTTAACGTGTGCAGCACTGGTACAACCAAGTTGGTTTAGAATTAAGGGTCTTCATTGTACACAAAGTTTATCATTGGCTCAGTTTTTTACATTTGATGAAGATGATGATGATGATAATGATGAAAATCAAATAAACATACATCAAAGTTCAGAATTTGATCCATTAAACAAATCAGATTTCAATGGTAAATACATTTTTTTTCTAATTACACAATTTGATGTGCTTATCATAGTTTATTATTAAATAACTGTTGAATAAATATTAATAGGCCCAAAGTTAACACTATAGAATAATGTGAAGTAAAGGGTTTTATATTGTTAGTGTGCGAATTTTTATAATAATTTATGGTGTTTTTAAGTATTACTAATGAGAATTATATAGTGGACTTTTATTTACTGTAAAATACTTGTTTGCACTTATTTGTTTACAATAAAACAATATAAAAAATTAAAACAATAAATGTGGATTATCCAAAAAAATTATGCTGCATTGACATTACTCAACAAAAAGTAATTACTTTATTTAATGTTTATCACACCCTTTTAATACAATCACAATTGACAACTTTGATGGTGTACCAGTTTAACACTGCCTCATCCTTCAATGATTATGAGTTTAATTCATGTTTATGCCTGTTTGTATTGGTCGGAATATTTTCTATGTATAATTTGTATGTATTCACAAAAAAAAAAAAAACTATCAGTTGTCTTGTACTCATAGTACATGCTTTGCTTAGTTTGTGATTAGACTGTGCTGTGGTATTTATTTGTTTATAATTATTTTAATTACAGTATTGCCACCATGTACTACACCAGAAATCATTACACTCATGAGAATTCTCATATTACTTTGCTTCATGGTGCTGCTTTGTTCATGTATTGGGGTCTTAATCAACCTTACCAGTTTGAATAGCAGAGCCATCAAGATGTTACGAAGAAATGCAATTCCCAGTATCATGTGTGTGTTCTGGGTTATAGCTATTGTAGGTGTTTGTTATTATACAACAGTAGTTTTGGGAAATGAAAATTACAGTGACCCCAATTCAATACAAGTTGATTACGAGTATGGATTTTACACAATAACTGGTGCAGGTCAGTATTTATTACATAAAATAGTAGTATTTAGCTCCTTATTAATACGTATTACTTTGGTACATGGTAAAAGTAAAAATTTCATTATTTTGAGTCAGGTATGTCATTCAATTGAGAATTGAAAAGCATGAGGTCAATTATAAAGAGTTGAACCTTAACAGTGATTAAATTTGTAATATATAAAATAAAATTAAGAATAAAATATTCTTCATAATACAGTTTGTATGCTCTCTTAAAGAATTTATTTTGAGTTATGCTATGTTACAATTTAATAAATTATTTAATTGATCTGAAAAGCTAGGAGAAATATTTTCTATTTTTGTTGAATAGGAGCAATGTACAAATTGTTCATCTGAGGGTGAAATGAGTGACAATGGCAAAAAGTTTGTCAAACATTGCACAGAATTACATAAGATGCAACTTTCCATCAAGTGAACTATTAGCTTGTTTACTATTCTCAATATAATAAATTAACAATTAAACATGTACTACAAGTGTAAATACATATTATTTTTCAATAACTGTAGGTAAAACTACATAATGATTAATCCTATATAATACATTATCAACTTAAGGAAGAATGTGACGCACAATTATGACATTTAATCACAAACTGAAACTGGGAGTTCAGTTATACATAGTGCTTTATTGCTGTTGAGTACATATACAAGGAAACTATAACACAATTTATTTATGTATTTGTTTGTTTTAAAGTTGTACATTTATTGAAAGTCCAAATGTTTTGAATTTTATTATCTTGAGCATTTTTTCTCATCTCATTGACACATCCATGAGATAAATTATGTCTAAATAAAAAAATATAAATGTAAGCAAATAGTATGAAAATAAACAGACATACAATACAAAAACTGTTATTTGTTGAATGTTTCAGGAGCTCTCGCCCTTTTGGCCTCGGCAGCCAATCTGTGGGGTGCTCCATTATCTGGTGATGAAGACATACAAAGGCGAAATCTAATGGAAGACTGGGATGGTTATGAAGCTCACAGTGTGGGTCCAACGCCAGCTGTGCCAACTCTTCCACCTTACACACCAAGTGCAGACTATGTGCCTACTGTTCATACAACATATGCTCCACCAGTACTTGGTACTCAACAGTATTTTCCTTTCGATGATCTTTCTATCCTGCCTCCTCCACCGCCTTATACTCCATGAATCTTGTATATTTCAAAGTCTCTTGTGTTCTATAATTTATGTACTTTGATCCAAACTCTTAGAATTTTAGTGGTTATTATTTGTGTATTATATTTAAGATGTTTTTAAATTAGATATAATGTATTATTTATATTTAATAAGGCTTGTGAAAGAAAAACGTGAAAATAACAGTATCTCTACTCCATCACAAATCATTAGTTCATTGAGTGCAAGTGTAACTGATAATAACATTGTAGGTTCGTCATAATATGTATATATAAAATAATAGCCAAATATATCATTAATAAAATTATGTTAGATATTAATAATTGCCTAAAAATAATAAAAATATAATGATCTGTTCTATGTATATTGTGGTTGTGAGTTGATCATTATTATGACTTCACTGTTCACTTCAGTATGTGATTTGCCATTTTAGTGCCTATTCATGTCGTATTTCTCGAAATGCTTTAAAATTTTTATAACATTGAAAATTATTTTGTTGTGTAAATTAGCCTAATTAACTGTAATGTGTTTAGATTAAGGACCAATTCTCAACTTGTACTTTTAAATTACGTCATGAAGATCAGAGATTCAGACCTACTTTAAATATTTTATGCAAGTTATTAAATTTTGAAATAGTTTAGTTTTTAAGGTATAATAATATTTCACTATCATCATTGATATATTCCACTTAGAAGTCTTTTCTTATGAATTCAGAAAATTTATTCAATTATTGCTTGTTGGATGTTTATTTTTACGCATTGTCACTTAGATAGAATTGATAAACTTAAAAATAATATCATTTAGGTCAATTTTATTTCAGGATTTAAATTATATATGTATTGACGATATTAAATAAGATGTTGGTATATATACTGTCACATTTATATTTTTAATTATGAATTGTTCTGTTTGTAGTCGCCAAATAATAAGCAGATTAAGACTCTGCGCTGATGACTATATTATTTTTATTCATCAGCTTTGATTACATAGAATTACATTATATGACGCACACAATATCTTTACAACTACGAAAAATCGTATCTTTGACGGACAGTGTTTCTTGTCTATGTATATCCTTATGATCAAAATGATTGATCTGTCGCCAAATTGCCGAATAATTAATAAATAGCAAGATCCTAACTTATATTTAGATGCAGCTGGATCCCATAGAAAGTTGATTGATTGTGTAAAAAGTACAGTATTTGATGGCGAATCAGTCATTTTGAAATAAATACTACCATTTTAAATGCGAGAAAAATGATCTTTTTTAAATAGATTTATCAACCTGTTGTTTTACTTCTTCGTCTATTATTTTTTACTTAATTTAACATCTGATAATAACATTATTTACTTACAAATTTATTTAAATTATAAAATATATGTATGTAATTCTAAAATTAAAATTAGCTGTTATTATTATTAGAATTATAGAGATAACAAGATCTGTTTCATGTACCTATTAGTAAAATCAAGTAATTTTCGAATGAGCTTTTAGAATTAGATAGGTACTTATCTCAAATACATGTTGAAATAAAATATCATAGTAGGTATGAGTCTTATTAAAAATAAAGCCGGTAGCCTATGATGTATAATATTCCATGTTACCAAAAATATAAAAATGTTATTGTTCGTTAATGTATAGATTTCTTCTAGCCGTAAGAATAGTTATTCCCGGTTGATTAACTGGGAAGTTTATTTTTACATTAAAACTAAACAAAGTAAGATTTTATTTTTATGTAAGACCAATATGCAATACATATCTATAAATAAAAATTGTTTTATTTTTTATATGATGTTCTGCATGAATATGAATTTATGCTCTATTTTGACACCACAGTCGTGAACAATCTACATTATATAATAAAATACATGGTCCTGATCAATCTAGGGCTCGAAATTGTACACTTAAATTCAATATGATATTAAATTTGCATTAGGGAAAGAAAGAAATTTGTTTAGAAATTCCTCTAGTATCGAAAGATACAAACTAAGTCATTATATTCCCTTCTAGTCTGGTAAACTTACCCAGACGAGGGACAGCCTTACTTTACCTTAGACAAACTAAGCCGAGAATAGGAAGAGAGAGCTAACATTTTGAACTTTTAACTCTAGATGTCTCTTATGGAATGCAGTTTTGCGAAAGCTATTTTTACAAACAATAATATACACATAGCTCATAAATAAAAAATAAACTTGGCGCTCAGTTCTCGGTTCAGTGACATACAGGACGCGGTGTAAAGATTATCATCATATTAGTCATTATCTACACTGCTGAACATACGCCTTCCCCATGGTGTAAGTATATTCAAAATAAATAAATGTATAAGTTATAGATTATATTAAGTTATAGTTATTCATTTTATAGATTTTAAATATTCAGGTGGAATTCAGCCCTTAAGTCTAAAATGTATTTTGTGGAATTGTTCTAAATGTTAGCCACAGCTACTTTTTATTATCGCACCACTCACCATTGACAGAGAATTCATACTCATAGGTTAGACCGGTGTTTCCCAACGCAGGGCCCACGCCCCACGAGGAGGGGCGATTTGAAAAGGCCCCCTTAAATAAAAAATGGACTCGAAGCGATTTTAACTCTCTTGCTCCGGGCCATTTAAATGCAATTCTACGAGTAGATATCGGTACCAAATTTAACAAAATAAGTAAATTAAAAAAAAATGCTGTGAATATTTATTAGATATAATTTCGTTTGACGTTCCTAAAATATCAAATGGGTAAACTTTGTCGGGAAAAATTATGTATGGGGGCATAAAAATTTTAGAAATGTTCAAGTGGGGAATGGCACAAAAAAGGTTGGGAAACACTGGGCTAGACCTAAATGGTCGCGTACAGTGCGGTTTCAGAAGTTCTCCACGCGGATACCAAGCTCCCTACTGAGATTTTCTCTATAGACTACAGTATGGAGTTCTTCAATAAGAGTATATTAATGTTTCTTCAGGATCGGCAACACGCATGTGACACCTCTAATATTGCAGGCTATATTGGCAATATAATCAAATAAACCATCAGACAGACTAAATGCTTGTTTGCCACCATCATGATATATAAAAACCTCTGTACATGTACTGAACAAAATGGCCAAGTGACCCAAAATAGAATTTTTGATCAAATGGTACTAGAGACCATGCCCAAAGAGCAAAATCCAGATAGATAAAATACATAGAGAATCTAGATATGAACTGATTTCTGTTTACTACTTTTCAACTACAATAATAGAATAGCAATAAAGATAGTAGCTGAATGTCATTGCATGCCCAGAAGTTTTAAATTAAAGTAAGTCAGCAATTGGAACACAAAATAGTTTACTTATTTTCAAAGTCACAACAAATATAATACACAACACATAGTATAAACCAGAAATAACAATTAATACTTTGCCATATACAAGAATAAATTGTTACATAGATTAGAAAAAGAGTAGACTAATAGATAAAATAAGTAAATGATTTAGGATAGGTAAATATTTATCTAGTCAATCATAGTCTCTAGGACCAAGAAATCAGGGCAATGTATAATTTTATGACTTATTAATGTCAACTATTTTAAAAGCTCAAATAGTGAATATATAATGACAGGCTCATTTTATTTTCCTATCCATGTCTAGTATTTCAATACAAAACCTTAGATTATATAGATAGTGTTTCTATACAAATGCTTCAAGAAAAGCGGGTCAACTTTTTCAGACAATTTGCATGATACATAGTTATGAATATTTCCTTTACAACTCCTATATTTTTGCATCTTTTTATTTATTAAATATAGATACATCAAAGTGCATAATGTATGTAAGTATACAGAACAATAATAAAAAAATGAGTCGGTTAATTGACCTGTTTTTTAGGCTTGATGATCTACATTATCTAAGTACAAAATATATTTATTAAATGAGTTGTAAAAATTAAATGTTATATAGGTGCATTACATTGTAATTTAAATTCTTATAAACTATTTACAAATTTTGACTATATTATTCAAGTGTGCTAATTATTTTTTAATGCACTCAAATCAAAATGTGTTTGTTGACTGGGCCTCTCAATACTTGAAGAAGGTACTGGAAATACTGAAGGAATTATTGTTGGTTTATCTGATGCTTTGGGAATAGGTAACTTTTGTGCAAAGTCATTAGATAAATCTTCAATGGACGGTATATTAGGCTGATAGTTATTAAAATCATTTTGAGGCAATGGAAAATTCATATATCTAGTTCTTTCTTTTTCTAAATAATTAACTCTCTCTTTTAGTGCCATATTTTCATCTTTTAATACTTCAACTTCCAATACTAATTGTTCAACAAATGAACGTAAATTTTGACTCAAAACTTGTAACTCTTCAATAACAGTGTTTTGAGATTTTTCCAATATTTTTCCATCAGGAATATCATCTTTTATCACTTTGTGTTTTACTATTGGTTCTTCATCATCATTTTTATTTGTTAATATTTGTAACAAAGAATCATTATGATTTATCGTTCTAAAAATAGCTACTTGAATCATAGAACAATCATTCGGTTGTAGGATTTTTGGAGGTTCTTTACTTAAAGCTTTTATATTGTCAATTGCTTTTTTCACTCGGGCATACTGTTCTTTCTTAATTTTAATTAAGTCTTTTTGTTTAAGATGATAACTGTGCTGAAGCGTGATAGACTCCAAAGCCACCGAGGAAGTGGTTGACTTCATAGCATCTAGAAGTAATTCAGCAGCATTATGATGACACTGCATGGCTTCATCATATCTATTGTTCACGAGATGAGTTTCAGCACGGCGATGTTGTTGATGTGCCTAGAAAATAGAACACTGATTAATATGAAATATAATAAAACACAAATGTTATTAAAATAAATTTCGATACGAAAGTGGTTATACCAAATTAAGAGGATGAGACTCCATTTCAGTAGTATAATGAAGTGAGAACACAGAAGTTATAACGTCATGCGGATTTCCAGGTTTACACTAATATTCAAGACAAAGAGTGTAAAATATAGAAAAATATTTTAAGGAACCAAAATATTTCCTTTCATAGAGCAAGTGATAACTGTTTCCTTTGATCAATTTAACATCAACTGTCATCTGTCAATACTGCTGATCTGACCACAGAACATTGTACGTAATATTACATGTTGTGCCGTAGAACGGTCACCCGTTAAAATAAAAAATAAAACAATTTGAAATTTCGTCACAATTTTTTTTCATATTAATCTATCTGCATAATACCATTTGATGATTTAACTTACAATGCAGAATCATGATCTTTAAAATTTGGTTATATATCATTTACTAAATCGCCTGATTTGGGGGGCAAGCGATTGTTAGTAATGGAGACTGAGAATCCTATTGCTAGTAATATACCCAATTATGTCGACCTCCTCGCGGTTCTCCCTGGAAACTATCATGGTTAATTCCTGATGAATTCATCATAATGGGCTAACTGGCCTGTTTTCATTCTCATCTATCACCATTCACTGGTGCTCCACCAGCGCATCCCGTTAGCGCAAGCGGGGCTACCATACCATTTTCACCCATAAAAAAAAACCGCCTGATTTTCCAATGTTGGGGTGAATAGAAACGAAAAGAATAAAAAAAAATTTGTTTGTCATTTTTGCATAAGTAATCTTATTTATTAATCTTATAATAGCCATTAAATATATGTAAATATAGATTGGTGTCTCATTTTATTTTTGTAACATAAAATGAATGAGTAACAAAAATTATACCTACACAAAATAATATTCTCACTTGTTTATTAACTATAAAGTAACATTTTATTAAATTGATAAAATCAGTTTTGATAACTTAAATGATAAAATCTTTTCACCTCTTTCTATTCCTTTAAAGCTTCTTTCAAGCCTTTTTTTCTATTAACTCCTTAAGCAATTCTGACCACCTTATATGGTATTGATTTATAGATTAAATAACTTACTTCAAATAATAGTTACAGCCTACCTTATATATACCCTACATATATATGTGTGTGTGTGTGTAGACTGGCAATGTAATCAAGAAAATATTATTGTATTTGATATCTATATTATATTTGACGTAACGTTTACACGTTACGTCAATTGTATCGATTCTGTATACGATTATAAATCGAAACTCAAAACTATTAATTTTATTTAACAATTAATAATTTAAAGACATATAGCATAAATTGTACGTTACAACGTACAATTTATATGTACATATTATTTTGTACATTTTATTATATGTACAATTATTACATAATATGTACATGTTATGTAATAATTGTATTGTAAAATAATTACATTTGTAGAAACCAAATATCTATCTGGACTTTATACAATATTAGTACATTACTGCAGGGGCCAACAACTGAGGCATTGATGGACGAACGTGCAAACGTTGGCCGAGGCGTAGCCGAGGTACACATACGTGAGTCCATCAATGCCTAGTTGTGGCCAAGGCTTGTATAGTACTTTTTTCAAACAATGCGCGAAAATCAAAAACACAATTTTACTTTTTAAGTTCAATGACGAATAACGAACAATAATAATTTTTCACGCGCCATAATATTCCTTTGTTTTTTTTTCAATAAATATATATAAATTAGTGTTTTATATAGGTACATTACAAGAATAATTTATTACCAAATTCGGTATAATAATAATTTTAATACTTTATTATATTTAAAGTAGTTATTTTAATTTTTATTAATAAATGTAGGTACACATTTTGACACAGGATATTTAAGAAAATTAATATAATTTAAAATAAATATGTAACAAGTGCGTAAAACTAGTGATAGGTATTGTTAACGTTGAGAAATCAAAATTTATCTTTACTACAAGTTTTATATTCAATTGTGTCCATGTATATATTACAGAGATAATTTATTTCAAACTTTTTTTGTAATTTCTCCGCCCACCCGCAATGGATCTGGTGTGAAGACAGATTAATAAATCATTTTTTATTTATTGACGTACACATATTTGCATGGACTTTTGAAAGTACCATTTACATCAATAATTTGTAAACGCAGTTTAACAGAGATCTTTATTAGAGCATTTTTACTAGTTCTCTCCATAGAATATACAAGTTTCCATTTTGTCTTCAGTCAGGAACACTGTCCTTACTTCTAGTACGTATAGAACAAGGCTTCTGCAATAGTCTTTGAATTTTTAGAATCGATTTATAGGATTGATTTGTACTGATACATTCATTTGATTTCTGATTTTTTTCTCTTGGCAATTGATGACAGACTTGGCAACAGTGACAAAAACGTATCCACTGGTGGGAACCAGTGGATACGTTTTTGTCACTGTTACCAACGCTCTTAACGCTCTTTCTTCGATCTTCATTAAATCATTTCAACATAGCCTTTCATTCCGCACATGGTCTATGACATCGGTATCCCAGTAACGATCGTATACTGCCCTCATTGTAGGTCTTACTCTTTTAGGATGTCTGTGGAGATACATTGATTTATATATCTCTAACAGGATTACACATTTACACATTTTTTTATACCACTGAGGTGGCAAACAAGCATATGGCCCACCTGATGGTAAGTGGTTACAGTAGCCTATGAACACCTGCAATACCAGAGGTATTACGCGTGCGTTGCCGACCCTGAAGAAACCTCTTTACTCCCCTTTTGAAGAACCCCATGCTGCAGTCTCTTGGGAAAATCTCGGCAGGGAGCTCATTCTACAATAGATCTATCGTCTAATTTCCATACTTCACAGCCATATGTGAAAATGAGTCTTACGAAAAGTTTATAAAGTTGGAATTTTGCCCTAGCATGTAATTCAGGATCCCAAATCAGCTTCCAATATCGTCGTCGTCGACACCAAAGCCTAGCGCATCATATTCTTTTAGATATCTCTAATATCATGTGTTGTCTGCATAACTGAGGAATATCCAATTTGTGTACAATGTTGCGTTCATGTTACATCGCAAAATATCACGTTTCCTCCATAAATAACAACAAAGTAATGAATTTATCTGACTGTTCAATATTAGGTTAATATAAATTTGTATTTTCTGTCATATTTGCTATATGTCGAACTATTGTGCATAGATCTAGACATAAAGATTTATAGACATAAATGTTGACCCTTGTTAAATTAATGAAACCCTTGTTCTTAGGTTGAAACTTAGATGGATTATTATAAAATATCTCTGTATAAAAATATGATATACTTAAGATTAGGTATAATACTTAGGTAGTTTATTTTAAAGGGTGAAAATGAAATAGTGACTCCGTCTGCGCCATTATATATATATATATATATATATATATATATATATATATATATATATATATATATATATATATATATATATATATAATGGCGCTATATAGACTACTAACGAAAAAATAAGTACTAATGTACCTAATAAAATGAACCTGATATGAGATCTGACTCCATTGCTAACAAGAAACCTTGTCAGGTTGAACTCCACCCGGTCCTCCTAAAATATCATGATTAATTTCTGGTAAAATTATCATGAATTCATTATGATTAGCTATCTAGCCTGTCTTCATCTTCACCTATTATTCCGCACTGATATTCTGCCATCACCATCGGTATGATGGCGTAGACAAATTTACTAATCCATTTTTATAAGTAAAATAGATGAATACTTAAAATTTATCATCAACTACCAATGACGAATACATAATAATAAAACACGAAGAAAAGAATATTTAAATTCATATGCTGTAATATGAGGTCATGTGAATTTATGAAATAAGTATGTGTTACCTACAACTGTACAAGACTGTAAATAACGTCGATACGATCAATATTTACAGCAGTATGCTTTTGTTTAAAATTTTGTAATTCATAACACGGCCACTTGAATTCACATTACGCAAAAACCATTCGAATGCGTTAAGTGATAAATCTCACTAACATACTTTGAGCACTTAAATTCTATTATTGTAACTATGATAATTTGGTTCCATAAAATTGTACTCGTATTTTTGATAAGTTATTTTTACGGTGTATCATTACAATGTTCTGTAACCGACACGAAGAGTTTATTGGAGGGTTGCGACAGATTGATGGGGCTAAATGTCACTAGCGTAGGAGGAACGATGGTTAACGATCATAACTGCGACGTTCTACTTCCTAAACAAGTATTTATGGAGGAACCTCTATTTCAGTATCCTTTGGCTGATACGGTATGTATAGACACTAAAAAAAACTATTTCTGCATTTAACGGACCCTAATTAGAAAATTAGACTTGCTGACTGCCAAAAATTGATTAATAACTAAACTTCTTTTTCGTTTAATATACTTGTTCAGTTCTGTAGTGATGAATAGGACATAATCGCCTTTACAGATACGTTTTCAAAATTTTACATGCTTCGTATTGTACGTAGAAATTTTTCAATGAGCGTTATTTTAATGGATTGAAAATAGAATAGTAACCCTACCTACTATATTAATGTAAAATGGCGGAGTACTAGTGAATAATGTTAGATGAGGATGAAGTCAATTCAGTCGACCTAATGTAACGTATTCACCAGGAATTAACCACAATGATTTCTAGGGAAAAATACTTGGAGGTCGTTCTAATAGTACATATTTTTAGCAATAGGGTTATATATGCCATTAGGTACATATCACGTACTAGCACTTCTTTAGCATAAACATAGCTCACTATACAGTATCAGGTGGCAACATATGTATCTTGTAGGCGCCTACTGCTGTGTTAGATGCGTCCTATCTTAAATATGTATAATGTTATATATTCTTGTAACATCTATCATAGCAACGTTGATATCGTTAAGGAAGTCACTCTAACACATATTGTAAATGATCATTATACAATACGTCTTCAGAGAAATTTCCTTCCACGAACGCTTTAGTTATGAAATGATCTGTCAACCCGTGCCTCATGCTAACGGTAATGACGTGTAAATCATCAACTGCATAAGTGTAGATATTAGGTGCTTCAGACATATTGATAGCCGAGCCAATAAGTACTTTATAAATGAGGAAAATATTAAGTTTACCTTAAGATTTTGCATAGTGTTGGTAGTACAATAAAGACAGTGGATACTGCGCAATTAGAAATGGCAATTATATTTATATAAATGGACCCATAGGAACTAAACAAAACAATTATATCTAATTAAACAATCCACCACATAATCCAAGTTAAGCAGCTGTAATGATTTTGTGGTACTATTTTTATTCTTTTATGAATATTTTCAATTTTTACATTACAGAAAAAATTCTACAGCATCATTATGGTAGATCCTGATGCACCACCACAAGTGGAAGGAGAATTTTATCTGCACATGTTAAAATCTAATATACCAGTAAGTATTATTTATTTACATTTTGGTACGTAGGTAATTTTTATATTAAAAATTATTATTTTACTAATACATTTAGGTAATTATGTAATAAAGAAGAGGATGTTAATTGATGTAAATTGACTAACTGAACCATATATCACACACATACACATAGCCAAGAGCACTGAATCTAAAATCTTAAAAAATTGTACGATCATTATATAGCGTAGGTAAACAATAAAAAAAAAATCAATTCCTATGGGGATAACTTGAGGGTTAAAAGTTTATATGGAATTTCTTCAGTTTCAAAGTCAAACACGTGCAATTTCATAGAATTAGAAATCGAATATCACACGCGATTGAAGTCGCAAGCAAAAACTAGTTATAAGTAATTGCTAACGTGTGATTTATAACGAGTTGTAAGAGAAGGGATGTAGGTAAATTTGTATGACAGCCATGTAAAGTTCGTGGTACTCGAATATCTGTCTATTTCGTCAAGTCTTGTATGTGAATATTGACAGAACAGTATTTTAAATAATCATAGATATTTAATAGCCTGCAGCGTGGTAAGTTAATAAGTTAAATGTTACAAAAAATACTTTTATGTATCTAAAATGCAGTACCACATCGGAGTACACAAATTTTAGAAATACTTATTATTTAAATTTGTTCTCTTGAAACTAGCACACCAAAGGACGAATGAACGTTATACCATCTCTGTGTAGTACTTTGATATTATTTGTAAACAATAGCTTAACTTCCTTCTATATAGACAATTCATAATAAGTACCTACACATATTGCATATTTATTTTTTACTTTGTTCATATTGTTTCAGGGTCTCGCTTTAAAAGCTGAAGAAAGTAGTAAAACTGTTGGAATCGATTACAGAGGTAAAATCTTAATTTTTTTTACTGTTGGTGTAAGTACCTACAGCCTACTAGCCGTAGTATTATATATATATATATATATATATATATATATATATATATATATATATATATATATATATATATATATATATATATATATATAAATTACTGAGGAATAAAGTCTTTTTTTCTAAAATGACTGCTTATTCTATTCATAGATTACTAATTATACTAAATTTAAATTAGGTAATAAAAGTCGTAATTAATTAAATAAATAATTCCACTTAATTATTTATTTAATTGTATTTAATAGTTTATAGTATATATCGTTCTACAGGTAACAATTTCTGAATGTATTTTTCAGGTTACAAAGCACCAACGCCACCTCGCGGTACAGGCACACACCGCTATATGAGCTTGTTGTACGAGCAAGCAGATGGGAACAACTTCTTGCCTTTCGTACCTACGTCTCGTAACCGCTTTGTGCTTGCTAAATGGCTCCGTGGGAAAAATCTATGTGGCCCTGTTGCTGCTATTCAGTTCCGTTCCCAATTCTAGATGGCATTACTAGTAGCCTTATAAAAGAAACCTAAAATTAAATATTTTTTATTAAAATAAGTATGTAATAATTGCTTAGGTATAAACCTTAACTTATTTCATTTTGTTCTTATTAAAATTATCTATTTAGAATTATACATAGTTATAAGTAAAATAAGTACACCAGCTTAAACTGTATAGAACTTAATATGAAGACCAAGATACTAAGCTTATTATATATAATAACTACACTAGTTTAAAATTATATATAATTTGTTAGATAGACAATAAGAGTAAAATACCTTAATAGGTATCGTAAATCCGTTAAATATTGTTTTTCAAGTAATGCGTGTACCAAATTGTGTTGCCTGTTACTATAATTGATAATTGAAAATCAAGAAATTTTCCAATAACAAACATAAAAATAAGTGGGTATTTTGAATAAAAAAATACTAATTAAATTCGGTTGAAAAATAACTGACAGTCGAAAATATTGTCTCATGACATACAGACACACAAACACACATCAATGAAATAATCGAACTGTAAAACATTCCTTACTGAAATTGGTTGAAAATATTGCATACTAAGTACTAATATAGTCCGAATATAATAATCATACTACTTAAAACTAACTTCCAAATTTTTTTAGTACCTATCTAGGTAAAAAAAATTTGGAAGTTAGTTTTGTTCTGTTAAAAACTATACAATTATCCCACATAAAGAATAAAACTAGTTAAAACACAATTGATAACGATAGGCAAGTACTTACTTAATGTTACTTTATGTAGGTAAGTAGGTACGCTCTAAGTAAACAGCGTCACGAAAGCATTTCATACACTTAGATGTTTCTGGCTTCCATACCGTTCATCAGTATTTTTCAATATTATTGTTACAATAGTGTATGCGTGACACAATTAATATCTAGGTACCTACCTAATAATATTTTATTTGGCGTCCGCGTTTTGACAGATGATACATCAACCTACAATGGTTTGTAACCAATCCACTATACAATCGGAGCTCGCATTGACAGTTGTAAATGTGTAATTAAAATAAAAGACAAGCTTTTGTTTCATTTCAACGGGCTCACTTAAATTTATAATGGCTCTTGGGACCAGCGTAGGCTGCGCACGCGACTCTTCCTTCCACGGAGTTGAATCAAGTAGAGCTGCTTACTATATGAACTTATTAGGTAACAAATATATGTCACTTTATTAATACTAGATAATTATATTAATAAATAGACTCAACCACTGTTTTCTCATTTACCCTAATTTCATTATCCGAATATTCGCGGAAAATTTGTTTATCTAATCTATCTACTATTATATATAGCATATTGTTTGGAAAAAAAGTCAATTTTAAGATTCTATCTCAAATTAAATAATTTACGAATACCGAGATATAAACAAATTGAAAAAAATTTAGTTAGTTAGTCTATAAATTTATATTACGTCAGTAATACATATGTAATTAGCGCTTATTAATAGGTATATATTTATATGTATATATCAGTTTTCAAACTTTCTTGTTAGTGTGTAAATAAATTTATTTATTGAAAAAGTTGTGTTTTAAGTCTCTACTCTCTTCATATCTATGGTTTCCTCTCACCTCTCTTCCCACGCATCGCAATACCGCCTAATTTATATAAACAAATTATTTTCTCATCTCATGCTAACTACTGGTTTTATACGTAGTGATTTATGTTTGACGGACAGATAACACCGTACAGTTTTCTGTTACCCAATGTGGCTTTAGTTACATAAATATTGTCTCGTTTTTAAACTCCTTGTCCAATAATATTTTATTTGGTTAAATATGCCTAAATCACAATGCGTCTTTCCATAAACAAAGCACAAGAAGGCGCATTGAAAATTTCAATTAATACTCAATAAACGTTACTTACGTAGATACTCAATGGTTTGTTAATGTAAAATTTCGTCTTTATAAAACTTTGATAGGTACATCACAAATTTTACTACTCGTATAATAGAACAGAACTATAATTGGTTTTTTTTTTTTCTATGTAGATTTAATATATAGGTTTTAATAAAGTTTAAAAGGATATATTTGATTGTTTGCTATTGTAATTCCTAGCAGATATTTATGGATATGATTAAGACAGATATAAGTCAGTAGAGTTTAAAATGATTTTATTTTCTTTTATTAAAAAGACAAATTGTAATCTTGAAACCTTGATAATAAATAGTAATATTAAACCAATGTGGTAGTAAACACTGTCTAATACAATTTTTTTAAAAAAATTAGTATAAAATTAGCAATCACATCGCATCGCGTAAAAACATAAATATAGTCTAATTAAGACCTTTTACAATCGATAGTTTACATATACATCATCGAATAGATATCTACATTAAAAACAGCGTGTGTTTAACTGGTTTCTTATTTCATTTTAATGAGTTTACTTTCAGGATGGTATTTAATTCTGTTTTTATTTTTGTACCGACATTTAACTTGAATAATTCATGATACCCACAGTCAATAATAAGGTAAACCTTTTTATAAATTTATACTTAATTGTTGGCCACAATCTGGCACGTGATGAGGAATTAAATGTCATTTCCTAAAATAAATTTGATGTTAATATTTTATTAGCTCAATACTAAATATATTTATTTTCAATATGGAATTAATATAATGTACCTATATGTTTGGTAGGTATATTAAATATAAATTAAGTAAGTACCTATAAATAAAATGACAACTTGTATAAACTACTCAGCACTCCTCAGTCATTTTTCTTTCATATTAATAATAACATTATATTTATGTTTCTAATAAGATATTAATATCGATTCATAGTACATATTGTGCATTACAACTAAAATAATAGTACAAGGACGCAAAATACCATAAAATTACATACCAGAGGTATGTACTACACTGTACAAAAGTTTTTTGCTTGGGTATCTCTGACCCTTTCATGTTTCTGCCGTGAAGCAATTGTGTTTGCATGACTGTGTTTTGGTTTAAAATATTCCCATCTTTGAAATTACAGCGTACAGAGGCATAATACTTCAGTCCTCAAGGATAGTAACGCGTGAGGAGTATCATGGGCGGCACAGTATACTCTTTTAGGCCCATGATACTAATCATGCTTAAAGGCTACGGTTACGACGGTTACTATCAGATAGGTCGTCAGCTTGTTTGAATTTCTAACTTGTAAAAATAAAAAAGTAACGTAATATTAAATTCTTTACTATTATTAAAAAAAAAATATTTGTTTTTCTTTTCTGTACAAATAGTAAATAAGTAAGTACCTAAATATAACCATTTTGTTTCATAACATCGATTACATATAGAAGACAAAAAAATACATAAAAATATACTATAAATCCAGTTAATAAAACAAGACGATGACCATTGTCGAGTGTATTTACCTGATGTTGAGCTTAATTTCGCATAGTGTAGACATGTCTATTAGTTTACTATGGATGTTAACAGAACGCTTCCGTTCCCTTTAAAACATGATAATAGTTCATTTTAACTTACGTCTACAGACATTATGTAGGTACAATGACTGCTACGTTACTATAAGTATTTGATTGTAAATTTTTACTCTGTTAGTTGCACAAGGTATATACAGATTTCCTACAAATTATGATAATTACCATCACAAAATCAAAAAATGTCTTAATGTAGCGATTTGTAGAAATGAAGTAACCTTATTATAAACAAATATAAGTATTTAAGCAGAAATATAAAATTGGTTTGACAAATTATTATTTTAATAACGGTGAGATTTTTTTTAATGGGTGATAATGAAATGGCAATCCTGCCCGCGCTAATGGTACACTGGCGGGGCACCAGTGAAAGATGATAGGTGAGGAACACAAGTCAGTTAACCTATTGTGTGAATACACCTGGAATTCAGCTCGATGGTTTCCAGGGGCGACTACGTGGAAATTGACTTGACAGTATATTGCTAGTCTACATTATTAACAATCCCTTCCCCCCTCCAATAACTGTAATTAATGAAACCAATTACTGATGTTTATGTACCCATTAATTCATAATTATACATTTAAATATTAATAAAAGCTGTAGATACGTTGACTAAGCAAACTTCGTTTTATTCTCGAAACTAAGGTATAATATTGTCAGGATGATTAATTTCGGTTAACCGCAGGTTTATATATATAACAATTAAGTAAACATTCATTGACAACATAAAAACAATTCAGTTCATTACGGAACGTTATTCATGGAACATATCTGTTACACTTCAAATATTCTATTATTTTTTGTGGACAGCTGCGGTTTCATTTATTATCTAGTCAATGGATACCTACATAATATTATGATGATATTCTAAACAAATTTATAATAGATAATACTGCTTTTGCTTTATTTAATTAGTCTAGTCTAGTTTGAATACCAGTTCTGAAATCATGTTCCTACTCTCGTTGATAGCAAAAAAAGGTTGCCTACATTCTACATTGATATACAACTGTTTAATATATACATATATATTTATTTATTTTTGCCCCTTTCATTATTTCATTCAAATATCTCGACAACGTTTTTCTTTAGTTACAGGAATAGATAATTTATTTTTCATTTTAACTATCAAAGATTCTTGTTGTAGAAATTAAACGAAAATAACACAACGAAAATTGGATGAATATATTTTTGTGTATGCTACGTAATACCTACGCCAATTAATTCCGGATCTTGGAATAAACCCGAACAAAAGTTTTTTGTAAGTCCATACATCCGAACAATATTATTGAGCATCTTTTTGCACCCACATACTGTATAAAGTAAATTAAGAAATCACAAAATTGAAAAGTTTATTTAGGCAGGGGAAGAAAAACAATTCTACGAAAATATGCTTTTTAAATGTCACAACATGCAAATTTCTTAACTTCGATCGTAAGCTGATTTTGAAATAATATTTTCTATAGAAATTTTATCGGTATTAAATTTGAAATTGTTTGAATTGCAATAGCAACACAATAATATATCTATGTAAATAAAGTCCCAAGTTGAACTCCCAGTCAGGTTAACTAATAAAAGTAATATTTATGAAGGAAGAAACTGTTAAATAATGAATCTGTTTCTGAGTTGTGTTATATAAAAATCGTTATTTTATCTATAATTTTGCCCTCAGATACTCGTTCTTGGCTTCCTATAACGTAGTACCCTAGATCGACTAGGTTTTTTACCAGTATAAATAATGTCAGACATATTTTTATTATTCTTAATATTCTTTATACTACGCATATATAAACCCTAGGTAATAAATAAGTCTTAATATCTACCTACTTTATGTTTACATAATGAATAATAAAATCTCTAATGAATAGCACTTAAAACGTAACAAACATCTTTACAGATATATATAATAAATGTATATATATATATATATATATATATATATATATATATATATATATATATATATATATTCATGTTTTTGTATCTAGGTACCTATTATCCTACATAATATCATTGCCTATTAATGCTACTACTACCTGTAGCTACAACTTTGTAATCCTTATAAAATTGACGTAGACAAAGCTGTAAAGATGGGCTAATAAAAACTACGACCGTTATGGTCACCATAAATATTAGATCAGTTGATCTTATAGCAAATTGATACCTATTAAGACTCGTATTAAACACAGTATGTTTTTTATTGAAAGCCGAATGGATTACATCAGCATAATTCGGGTGACGCATCTTTAAATAATTACTGTTATTTTTTAGAATAACGTTCTGATAAATGTTGGTGATATAAACACGTCATCCTTAAGAGCATAATAATAGGAAGAGTGGCTGTTATCGATATAAAAATTACCAAATAAATTGGGTAACGTTAATTTGGTGTTTGTACATTTGTACGTATATTTGTGTTGTATGTGTGTATGTTTGGCATAACATTCTAGCTAGCTAAAAATAATGTTTGTTAATTAACTTACCAAACATTTAGAATGTCATAAAATTTGTCTTGTATACCAGATAGTACTTATATATAAATATGGTGGTACAAAATAAAAAAAATATTTTCTTATTACCTACAATCTAAATATAATTTATATTTTGCTGTACAGAATATTTCATATGAAAAGTCCACGTGCTTGGTGTTAATTAGGTGAACTTACACTTCTATATTACTACCATAATTGTATTTTAATATATATATATATATTTTATTTTTAATTTTATTAAGAGTAATTTATTTAAATAACTACAGTTATTAATTTAAAATGAAATTTCGTAAAAAATATCTTAATCAAGACGAGTCAGTTAAGGGCATACCTAATAGTATGCGGAGTGTCATGTTATCGATCTAATTAACATGTCTGTTGAGAGGTGAATTCTTGGGTAATGGTCAAGTTGTCATATCTGGGATTGGCCGCGTCGTTTTTGTGACAGGAAGCTGGTCTATCGTAAATTAATCGAGGCGGCTCTCGAACACCAAATTACGGGACCGGTTTGGCGTGTGCTCGGTGCGTCGGCCGCTGACCGGCCGGAAATGCTCGCTAGACCTGATACACAAACCTTTTACTTATACATACGAATTAAATTGATAAATTGTAAAACGCCCTAGTCGTTTGTTATTAATTTAATATGGCTATTTTTGTAATTAATAAACCTAACTGT